CTTCGCAAGGGCTTGGCCGAATGTCAACCTGCACCACCTTGCAAGCAAGCAGGCTGATCAATGGAGAAGTGAAGGGCTACATCTGGGAGGGAAGCAGGCTGGGAGGGGGACTACCAACACCTTGGTGTCAGATGCGAAGGAACAGGTGCAACTCCCAAAACAGTGCTTGCAGTTAGGGGCTCACTTGTCTTCTAAGGAACTGGGCATGCGGGCCGTTCTGGCCGCCATGTGGCCGCCAGCGGTCGCCGCCTCGTCGCCGCCCGTCGCCTGGGCCTGTGGGCCGCTCTGGCCGCCATGTGGCCGCCGTCGCCACCTCGTCGCCGCCCACCGACTCGTCGCCGCCCGTTTTGCCTTGGTTTGCATTGGTCTGCATTGTTCTGTATTGCTTGTCATTGCGTGGCGTTGCCTTGCATTTCTGTCAATCGTTACTTGATTTGCGTTGCTTTGAAGTTATGTGCGTGCGTAGCGTTGCTTTGCGTTGCTTGGTATTGCTTACGTGTGCTTGTATTGCGCCGCGTAGCACTGCACTTTGCGCGCTAGGTAGCATCGTATTGCAGTGATTTCCGTTGGTTTATTTGCGTTGCTCTGCACTGCATACAGTAAGTTGAAATGGATTGCCTTGCTCTGCCTTGTCTTGCTTAACGCCGCGTTGCGTTGCACTGAGTGGCACTGTTCGACATTGTTTTGCACTGCTTCTCACTGATGCGCATTGCTGCGCATTGTTGCGCATGGTTTGGCATTGCTGGTGATTGGTTTGCAAATGATAGCACAACATAGCTTGCACCACATAGCTCACCCCACATATACTGCACCACTAGACCTCGCACGTCATAAGTGCAGATGATGCAGAACTCAGATTGCACCAGGTTTCTTACACAATGTAGATCACACCACATTGATTGAGCTACGTGGCTCTAGATCAAAAATCAGCAATTTACCTGTATCCGTTGCAAACACAAAAGGTACGAAGAGCACACGCGCGCGTCTTCGCGCGCGTATGCCGGAATCCTTCCTCAACCCTCGGTTTCGTAAGTCATTCAAAATCGAGCGTCCCGAATACAGATACGACGCCCACGGTTACGCACCAAGGATTGTTCCTTACCCCAAAAAACCTGCGCGCGCTCTTGCGAATTCTCAACACAACCGGTGGTTGTTCTCCAACATGTTCATGGAAGTATTCCAAACGGGCCCTTCGCACCGCATGCATAAATCATTCGCACGCCCTTGTGCGCGCGTTGGGGGGACACGATCCGTGTCAAATAATACCATGCGGGCCACTCTCGCGCGTCGGCCGCGCGCGCATGTCGAACGCGAGGGCGCCGTCATCGTCGTCGGCCTGATCAGCATCGGCGCCGTCACTGGCCCCGCCGTCGTCGTTGTCAACATCTTCACCAGCATCGCTACTACCATCGTCGTGTCTACAAGTGTCGACGTTGCCATGATACCGCGCCCGCCCAAGTCGCCGACTCGCACTGAAGTGCCCGCTGGGATGTGCCCAGCGGTCAGCGCCACCGAGGCCACGTCGGTCGCGCCAAGCTAGCTGGCCGCTGCGCGCGCGTGCTTGGGTCGGCGCGGCCGCACAGATGCACCAGGCAAAGCCAAGCACCCATCGCAGTCGCCGCCGCATAGGTTTTGCAAGCCAAGTTGCGGGTGGGTGGGTGTGATGTTTGCAAGAGCGTGAGATGTGCCAATTCGCTTGTGAAAAGCAAGTTGCCAAATACCTTCCACACCATAGCTTGCACCACGAAGCTTGCGTCATCCTGCACGCATGCTAAAACACATGATTTGGGGGCCACGCTGGCAACCATCTCTCGTTCGCACAGTGGCATGGCCCAACACTGACAACAGACCAATGAAACCTCTCTGGGCAATGAGAGGCAGACCGCCAGGAAAGGGCAGAGCCCAGACCCCCACAACTGACATTCGTAATGCACACGAGGCCCCCCTCAACAACTAGGCCCCCCCCCCCGACAAGTACACCACATCGGACGATGCTTGCGAACACACGCGCACAAAACAAATGCACACATGAACACGGCGAGCTCACCCGAATCTCCGAATCCACCCGCGCGAACGCACGCCCGTTCACACAAAGGACTTCACAAGAACAATGTCATGAAAAGGAGACCGCCCTCGTACAATTTGCGGCAGGAAAGCTGCCACTGTGAGCACTGCCGGCAAATCCGCCGACCCAATCGGCGTGTGGAAGACGCTGTTCTGTTTGACTCGACGTTGTCGTCGTCGTCGTCGTCGTCGTCGTCGTCGTCGTCGTCGTCGTCGTCGTCGTCGTCGTCGTCTGTGTCGTGTCGCGTTTGACCCCCCTCACCCCCGTTCACTGGGCCCTCCTCCTCAAACGAGCTAGCCAAAGCGAAACCAGCTCGAAATCGAGCAACGTCGTAGTTGAGTCGAAGGAAAGCCTCGTCCCTTTGAATCCCTTCCCCTCCGAAGGGGGGTGGTCCTGGACGGGGGTCCTGGGGGCGGTCCTAGGGCGGGTCCCGGGAGGGGTCCTTGGTCAGAGGACCATCCCCCCCCCGGGGGTCCTGGGGCCCAGCAAGCCTCATGACAGCCCAAGAACCCCCCAAAACGATCCAGGCGGGCCCCGAATCGACGAACAATCGACCCAAGACGCCAAACACGGCCTCCTGACAGCCCAAGCCCCCACCCTGCGCAGCGCGTTGTGACCCCATAGGGAGATCAACCGAAGAGACTATTCACAAGTGTGGTGCTCACAACTGCATATGGTTGGATCCTTCGCCATGGTAGTGTTTATCGTCACCGACTCCCTGGTGAACCGATAATGGGTAGACACACGTATAAGCATAGTCCCTATTGATATTCATGTATGTATGCACACACGTGCATACATGCATTTATGTGTATAGCATCTACGGCCATCGGTTTTTGTTAGATATGCATGTGAATGTGTATGTGTAAATGCATACATCTGGATCGATCGATCACAATGAACATTTATGTGCACACATGTATGAACAGACCAGCACATATTCATGGAAGCAAATCGAATCACATGTATGTGCATCGAAATCTGCATGTATGTGGATATAAACTTAAACTGATGGGCATATCTGCATCTACCTATATGCATTATAAATGTGGATATCGGCTGATCAACCTATGTATATCCAGACATGTTGATGAGTTTGTGTGTACATGCACTGTCATACCCCTACAGCGAATGTATCGCACACCACGAACGTATACATATATGCATGCATACATATCGAATAATCAGTACATGTGTAGAGAGAACAGCATATGAATTGCTAGGTGTCTCACTAACGACAACGAGTTTACATATATATATGTATATGTATGTACATATATATATACATGTATCTCTCTGTGCGCCGACCGCTATACCTACATAATTACGCACGTGCACCTACATACGTAAATCCAGATACGTATGTATGTGAATGTACGAATACATGCCACGAGCTCGATATATATATATATATATATACACATATACATCTACATATGTGTGTATATATATATGGACCGCCCCCCCCCCAGCACCCATTCTTCGTATGGGTTCTTTCCACGTTGTCTTTCGCATCCCTTCCTCCGCTCCCAGAGCTGGAGACAGAGAGAGAGAGATAGGGAGAGACAGAGAGAGAGAGGGGGGGGGAGACTCGAGGGAGCGGCGGTCCCTGTGAAATCACAATGTTTGCGAAACCTGGGGACACCACGCCCTGTTATTTCATTTGGATGTTTGGGATTGCTGGGTCAAGAATCCCAGAACTCCTGTGATGCCATTGGGATTTTTTGGGATTGTCAGTTCCAGAAGAAAAAAAAACAAACGACGACGGGGCTCCCCAGGACTGGAGGATTGAAAATCACAAAAACCCAAACACATCCCAATGAAATCACAAGGGTTCTGGGATTCTTGACACAGAAATCATAAACATCCAAATAATAACAGGGTTTGGTGCCCCCAGGCTTCGCAAACATTGTGATTTCACAGGGATCGCCGCTCCCTCGAGTCTCTCCCTCTCTCTCTCTCTCGCTCTCTCTCTCTCTCGCTGTCCCCCTCCGTCTCTGTCTCCCCCCTTGTCTTCCTCCTCCTCCGCCTCCTCCTCCTCCTCCTCCTCCTTCTCTGAAGCAGAGAAAGAGAGAGAGAGAGAGAAAGAGAGAGAGAGAGAGAGAAAAAGAGAGTGCGTGTGAGGGAGGGAGGGAGGGAGGGAGGGAGGGAGGGAGAGAGAGAGAGGGAGAGAAAGAGCGAGAGAGAGGGGGGGAGACTCGAGGGAGCGGCGATCCCTGTGAAATCGCAATGTTTGCGAAGTCTGGGGGGCACCAAGCCCTGTTATTTCATTGGGAGGTTTGGGATTTCTGTGTCAAGAATCCCAGAACCCTTGCGATTTCATTGGGATGTTTTTGTGTTTTTTAGATTTCCAATCACAAAGAAAAAAACAAACGACGACGGGGCTCCCCAGGACTGGAGGATTGAAACTCCCAAAAATCCCAAACATCCCAATGAAATCACATGGGTTCTGGGATTCTCGACCCAGAAATCCCAAACATCACAATGAAATAACAGGGTGTGGAGCCCCCAGGCTTGGCAAACATTGTGATGTCACAGGGGTCGCCGCTCCCTCGAGTCTCTCCCTCTCTCTCTCTCTTTCTCTCGCTGTCCCCCTCCGTCTCTGTCTCCCCCCTTTTCCTCCTCCTCCTCCTCCTCCTCCTCCTCCTCCCCCTCCCCTCCTCCCCTTCTTTTGAAGCAGAGAGAGAGAGAGAGAGAGAAAGAGAGAGAGAAAAAAAAAAAAAAACAACAAAAACAACAAACAAGAGTGTGTGTGAGGGAGGGAGGGGGGGGGGGGGGGAGGGAGGGAGGGGGGGAGGAGGGAGGGAGGGAGGGAGGGAGGGAGGGAGGGAGGGAGAGAGAGAGAGAGAGAGAGAGGGGGGGAGACTCGAGGGAGCGGCGATCTCTGAGAAATCACAATGTTTGCGAAGTCTGGGGGCACCAAACCCTGTCATTTCATTGGGATGGTTGGGATTTCTGGGTCAAGAATCCAA